CCCAATTGAAAACGACACCGCACCCTTAGCCGCCAGGCCGCTCAGCGGGGGGCCCCTATACCTTAGTGGTTTACTTCCGGCACCGGCACCTCCTCTGAGTCTCGGTATGCTTTTCTCTTTCCTTCTAGTTGTAGAATTTCCCCTCAGCCAGCCTTCCTGTGGTTCTGGATGATGTCCGTTCCGTCTTTTAGTTGTATTTTTGAAGTGGTTGTGCAAGGCAGCAAACTCCAGTGTTTACCTATGCCGCCATCTTGGTTTTTCCCACAACACTTTGATAACGAAAACATATGTCTATATAGAGAACTGAATGCAAATATTCCCAGATTTATTTATAATACACCAAAACCTGGAAATAACAAAAAAAATAGATCAATAGATAAAGTGCTTATTCACAGAACACAATACTACTCAGAAATTTTTTAAAAAATTAACTTTTTACATAAGTATTTGTGTTAAATCTCAAAATGATTGCGTAGCATGGAGGAAACCAGTATTTTTTAAACAGTACACATCAAATAGTGCCTATAAAATTGTGAACAGTATGAACTAAGCTATTGTTAAAGAAGCACAATCTATGACTGCATGGAGGGCCCAGCAAGGCAGAAAGAGAGATGATAACAGGAACATATAGTAGGAAAATACAGGACTTGGCAGGAGTAAGTTAAGATATGGTATGGAAATATAAATAAATAATAAATATATACATGATACTCTGCCCCATCCATTGTCCTCAGTTGATTGGGTGTGATTCCATTCAGTGAAAGGTCTCTGGTTGCATTCCAGGTCAGTGCAAATCCCCAAGTGGATCCCAGTAGGAGCCCTACAGGAGGCAGCAGATCTATGTTTATCTCTCTCTTCCAGCCTCTTACTCTCTCCACCCAAAAAAGAATAAAATTATTTTCTAAAATATTTTTAAAAACTATAATGTCTGTTTTCTGAACTTACAACTGTGAGCCTATTATAGCCCCACCCTGTGTATGAGTTAGAGGTGGGTTTATGTCACATGTGACAGTTTCACAGCTTTATCTTTAGGTCAGAGCTCACCAAATAGCAGATTAGAAAGGTGCTCTCTGTTGCGTGTCAGTTCTCATTTCCTGGGAGGACCAACCTTGCCTCAGTGGCAGCGAATATTGGCAAGCAGTAAAGAGTATTGCCATTGGAATCAACAGGAATGCTGACTGGTTACAAAAGACACATCCTGGAACGGATTACAGGATTACCCACCCTCTAGCTTTGAGTTCTTGCTTGTTGAGCAACAACCTTGAGGTGACCTCCCTAGAGGGGCCAAGGGAATCCAAACCCATGAGATTATTTTGTCTGCCAGTGACTCCAGCTACAGGAAATAGTGATGGCTGTCCTCAGAATGTCATCAAAGATAAAACAGGCCACAGGCCCGGGAATAATTTGGACTTATGTCTAGAAGATGCACTGCCTCTGACGCCTCGTGACCCAGCACTGGAACCTCTGATTCTGTGAGCACACTGCAAAGGTCAAATTCACCACCAGGAGAAAGACGCTGGAAGTCAAGCTC